AATTTATTATAAAAGTCAACATCCATATTATTATATTTTTTATATTTATTTTTAAATAGATTTTTTTTTCCATTTATATAAAGGTCTTTATAAACCTTCATGTGTAGATTTATCAGTTTACAAATACATATTCGTATGTGAAATTTTGTATGAACCTACACGATGATAATTTCAAAATTGGATAAAAACAGATGAAAAATATAACAATACACTTGTCAAAATACTTTAAAAAAATGGAATTCATTTTAAATTAAAAAGAATAATTTTATAAGATTCCGGGAAATTATTCGCTCAATTTTTTGTCATTTACTAGAAAATCATTCGTTTGTTATTGATTATCCTATTGTCGCTGCAAATATTATATATTAATCAATCAACATTCGTTATCGTCTTCTCATTTGAATAATCACTTACATGTATATAAATATGGATATCGTAGGACCTACTTAATTTGGTATTTTTATCGATTTCGATTTTCAAAACACAAGTTGTTGAATCAAACCTAATGACGCTAACTTGATCGAGACCGCTAACTGTATACCAAAGTTATTATGTTGTGCATTGACTTTTACGATAAATACATGACACCAGATCTTGAAATCAGATAGAAATAGCTTTTTGATTATGTAGGAAAGATTTGTCGAACTGTATTTTTATTCGATAGCAATCTTACATTTTTGAAGAATCCTAAGACGTTGGAAAGAGAAAATATAAGTACAGTGAAAACGAGAGCAATTGACAATCATCAATGTAAGATCCTACATTGGTTGGGGAGGAGAACAAATGTTGCCTTATAAGAGGCTTGATGTCTCACCTATCAGACTCGTTTTAAAAACCGTGAGTTTAGGTGTGTGGATAAAACATACAATATTTGGTACAGTTGACCTGAGATGTTATAGATAGTACGTCTACCGAATATCTTTATTCAAATTAGGCTTATTCAATTTAAATAAATAATATTGAGTTTAATTTGGTCGATCGAAATATTTTATTGTATTTGGAAAAAAAAAAAGAAATAGAAATATATTGATTTTAAAATTATTTAGCAAAGTCAAAGGTATTTAAAACCGTTCATTTCCTAGATGGGTATACTTAAAAGGTCTCTTGTTTCTTTTTCTTTTCAATGGATAGTTGACTTAAAGATTGGTTAAAATTTAAAATCTTATAAAATAAAATATTTAAATTTAGATTCGATTTAATTAAATAATTTTGAATAAAAATTAAATCAAATGAATTTAATATATCTATCTTAAAATTTAGAAGTAACAATGCATATTCATGAAATATATGCAAATCTTTCTTTTACATCTAAAATAGGGGAGTGTTAATGACATCTCTTAATAGTGGGTGTTGAATGCTTGGAAATTGTATTATTTTTAAAATCTGATTGAATAATATATTATATTTAATTATTATTATTATTTTATATAAATATATATTAATTAAGTTATTATATATATTCTCTGTGTATATTTTACACATATTATATAATATTTTATATTTATATTATATATAAATATACTATTATATTACATATATGTATTAATATTAAAATCTCATTGTAATTATTTTAAAAAACCTAAAATAATTTAATCCAAAAAATTTCGTGATTAATTAGTTATGTTAATGAATGAGATATTTATAGAAACCATTTGTATTGAATTTAAACAAGGAAAAAAGTTTTGAAAATTAAAGAAGTTGTTCCATTTTGAATTATTAAGTTCTTGAAATTTTTTTGATTGAATAAATTGTTGAACTTTTTTTTATGTTGAATGATTAAGTTGTTGCATTTTTTTAGTAATTAAATGATTGAGTTTTTTTAGAAAATTGGTTACTTACGTTATTTTTAATCTAAAAAACTACTTGAATTGTTGTAGAAGAGCGAAAATCAAAAGATTTTCTGATCATTTTTTGGGCCATGCCATTAATGTCCCTCCTTGTGATCATTTTTTTTTTGTTTTTTATTTTCTTTTTATCTATCTATATATATTTTATTATATTGTTGTAGAAGAGAAATAATCGAAAGACAAAAAACTGACCAAAAGAGGAAGACCCCTTAGACGTAGTTGTTCAAACGTATTAACATTTGTTCACTTGGATGAAATAAGCTATTAAGAACCAGCGAGACACAATTCTTTTAGAATAAGTAAAAATATAATATAAAATATTTAATGTTTTATTTATATATTTTTTGCTTTTTATGTTTTATTTATATCTTAAATCCCAATGTTTATGTTTGATTTTTATAATTATATAATTAATAGAAAACTAGTAATG